TAATAATAATAATAGTAATAATAATAGTAATAATAATAATAGTAATAATAATAGTAATAATAATGATAATAATAGTACTAATAGTAATAATATGATTATAATGAGGAAAAGTGAATCTCATGGTAATTACTTTCTTGAAAATTTAAAAATTATAATTATTGTACCAAATATGGTAATATTGCATATTCTCATTATTTTGAGATTCTTAAGAATTTGAATAACACTATGTTTGGTGGTATTTAAATTATCTTAAAATGAGAGAAAGTGAATCTCATGATAATCACTTTCTTGAGAATTTAAAAATTATAATTTTTGTATCAAATATGATAATATTATAAATTTTTATTTTTATCTTTAAAATTATTGCATACCAAACGGTGCAGTTAGTTTTTGCTCATAATATGATTATTTTTCTCTAGAGAGGAACTGAAAACGGTAACATAACGGAAACAAAACGGTCCCGTCTTGCAAAGAGTTGGAGCCCATTAGGCCCATTACATAATAAAGCCCAGCCCACCAATTAATTTATTTATTTTTCAATTTTCTTCTCCAGCTAAAGCGGACTCCCGAAAGGTTTGGCACTTTGGTTTTTAAAGTTAATTTATTTACCGATTTTAGTTAATACGTGATTTTATGTAAAAATATTTTATTATAATAAAAAAATTAGATTTAATTATTTTTTAGAATTTTTATTATAATAAATTTTTAATTTTAAATTTAAATGAGTGAAATGCATTAATAGTCGGTCTTCAGTTCAGCTCCAACATCGAATTACAGAGGAGCGATCTAGGGTTTTAGCTGCACAACATTCGCAGAGAGAGAGAGATGCTGTACATAGTGGGTCTGGGTCTGGGTGACGAGAGAGACATAACTCTGAGAGGCTTAGAAGCAGTGAAACAATGCGACATGGTTTACATTGAAGCCTACACTTCTCTCCTTTCTTTCGGTCTCTCCTCAAACGGTCTTTCCACTTTGGTGCTCCTCTTAATTCTTTCACCTTGTGTTTTTTTTTTTGGCTTAACTATTAATCTTTTCAAAAAGAATTTTTTTTCCTGGGCAGGAAAAACTGTACGGGAGACCGGTGATTCTTGCGGATAGAGAAATGGTGGAGGAAAAGGCCGACGAAATTCTTTCAGCAGCTCGTGCCTCTGATGTCGCTTTCCTTGTAGTTGGCGACCCTTTTGGGTATGTGTTAAAAATCTGATTTTTTGCTTTTGTTTTTTCACAATAGAAATTATCTTCGTTTTCCATGTGTAATCTCTGTGAATTAATTTAATTGTTTAGAGAAACGTAACGCTTGAAATATTGTTAGTGAAAATTTTGCTTTTATACGTTTTATAAAAAAAGAATTATGCTTATTATTGTGACTGATTGATTCGTTCAGAAAAGCTTATTTGCTTCAGGCCATTTTGAGTTCACATTTTTTATTTTTTTGGGTCTACAAGTGTGAGACTTTTGAGTTCTTTTTAATGGAGAAAGTTTAGTTGCTTTAGGCCATTTAAGGATTCAGCCTTGTCTGATGATGCTTATTTCACACTCCCCCCCCTTAAATTTCCCTGTTTCTTTAGTCATTCTACTTGTTGATTTTTGCACAGAGCAACTACTCACACTGATCTTGTTGTTCGGGCAAAGAAATTGGGAATTGCTGTCATAGTAGTGCACAATGCATCGGTAATGAATGCAATAGGAATCTGCGGCTTGCAACTCTACCGCTATGGAGAGACGATATCGATTCCATTCTTTACCGAAACATGGAGACCTGACAGTTTCTATGAGAAAATTCAAAGCAATCGTAATCTTGGACTTCACACCCTCTGCCTATTAGGTGGGGTTCTAATCTATGTATGGCTTTCAGTGTGAAACTCTCAAACGCTTCTTGTTTTCTTGTGGTTTAAAGTGGAGTTTTGTTACTCTTTTGTCACAGATATTCGTGTGAAGGAACCCACTCTAGAATCTTTATGCAGGTTTGTTACAAATGCTCGAGCAACTTAGTCTTGCCTATTACTATTATTAACCATAATATATATTGATTTGTCCCTCTAATTTTTCAGAGGAAAGAAGCAATATGAACCACCTAAATTTATGACAATTAAGACCGCAATTGGGCAGCTCCTGGAGGTTGAGCAAACAAAAGGAGAATCTGGTAGTGATAACAAGCTTAATATTTAGATACCAAGCTTAATATTTCTTGTTTCAGCATTTCCCTTTAAATTTATAAATTTCATTTTCTTCTCTTGTAGTATATAGTGAAGATACCTTGTGTGTTGGGTTTGCTCGGCTTGGAAGTGAAGATCAAATCATAGTCGCTGGTTCGATGAGGGAACTACAGTTGATAGACTTTGGACCACCTCTTCATTGCCTTGTCATAACAGGCAATACCCATCCGGTGGAAGAGGAAATGCTTGATTTCTACAAAATTAAAAGAGATTAAGGCGCTGTTTTTTTTATTTTTATTTTTTTATAACTCAAGTTACAATTTAAGTTTTATTGCTACAGTTTAGTGTTTTTTTTTTTTTTTTTTTTACAAAAATTCAAATTTAATTTTTTTGTCATAATGTTTTTCTTTCACATATATAACTCAAGTTTTTAATTTAAATTGTGAAATAAACATATTCTAATTGATGATTAGACTGCATAAATTTTCTATTTTAATTTTTAGTAACAGATTGAATTGTGCGTTTGTTGGCTGTGAAAGGAAAATATTTAAGAACCTTATCGCGATTAATTTATGCTAAATTTAAATTCCCTTTATTGAAAAAAAGATGAAGAGACGCCTTGTGAAGTTGTTGTGAATATGTTTTTAATTTACTGAAGTGACAAGATTGATTTGAACCTTTTGTTAACTATGAATTAAGGTTAAAACTCATGACCGCTTTATTTAAAAGTATTTTATGTAGATATATAGAGTCCGTTTAATTTGTTAATTTAAAATTTTAATTTGAATTGAGATGTGATTTTACGTGAAAGTTTTTTACTATAGTAAAAAAGTTAAATGTTATTGTTTTTTAAAGTTTTTTATTATAATAAAATTTAAAATTTAAATTCAATTCTTAAATAGGTAGAAATGGAAATTAGTCAAAGAAATGTATTAGCGGACTAAGTTCCCAATGAAAAGGAGGTCTAATATTTCAACTGAACGCATCTTTCCTTTTCCTAAATTTGGTTCAAGCAAAAACGCGTCGACTACTCCATGTCCAAAGGTTGTATTCCAATTATTAAACTAGAAAAATAGAAAATAACTAGAAGATTTAGTCAAACAATAAAAATAGTAGTAGATAGAGCACACATTTTGTCTCAATGGTAGATCAATGTGTGTGTTGTGTTTCTTTTTTTTTTTTTTTTTTGGGAGAGTCGATACGAAAGACAAACCATGAAAACAAATACTGATTACATTTATTTATTTATATATTGCTTGAAAACAAATACTTATTACTGATTAGTGACTAGAACAGAGTTGAATTAAGCCAAATAAGATCCAGAGTCACTCTCAGTCACTCAATTGTCGATGGTCAGTTCGACGGTCCAGTTCAATTAGGTCCCAACGTTTCAACGGCTAAAATAAGCCCTCAACTTTGACGCGGTCGACATTCGCCAAGATCTCGTTTCACAGCCTGTTCTTACAAGGGCAAAATCGTCAGTCTAAGCCCCAAAAAAAATCCCCCAACGAAAAAACCGATTGTGTTCCGCGCTAAATGTTAATTACCAAAATGTCGGTGTGGGCGTGGTTTTGTCAGTGTGTAATACCTCTCCGACAATAACCATCCAACAAATAATCCAGTCCGGTCACGACCAGACATTTCCCGTTGCTTCCTCCTCAAGCTTTCCTAGATCCTTTCATCAACCGCATTTTCCTTTTATTAGCCAAGAGCGTTCTCTGTTAATCTCCCAAATCCGGAGATCCGATTTCTTTTTTTTTTTTTTCCGGGAAAAGAAAGTTTGTTTTTTTCCCTCTTCCCAAACGTACATTGCGACAAATGCCGGTCGCTTGAACCAGATCTGAGGCGTAAAATTCCGGTTTTGGTTCCTGTTAGCAGAAAATGGGAGAAAAATCGAGCTCAAAGGGATGGTGCGGTTGGTTTCTGGTACTCGTAATTTTGGCCCTGGTTGTGGGAGCTATTGTAATCACGATCAAGAAGAAGCAATCGGACCACTCCGACAAGGCCGCTCCGGTTCCTGGTCCTCCCGGCGCGATTTCTCAGAAGTACGCCGACGCTCTGAAAATTGCTATTCAATTCTTCGACGTACAGAAATGTACCTATATCCTTCTCTATAAATCTCTTACTTTTTCTTTGAGTAATAATAGTAAATAATGGATGCTGAACCAATCTATTTTGTTGTGGTAGCGGGTAAGTTGGAGGACAACAAGATATCGTGGAGAGGGGATTCTGGTCTAAGAGATGGAAGCGACGCGAAGGTGGATCTGTCGAAAGGAATGTACGACGCAGGAGATCATATGAAGTTTGGTTTTCCCATGGCGTTCACCGCGACAGTGTTGTCGTGGACGATACTCGAGTACGGAGATCAAATGGATGCGGTGGACCAGCTGGAGCCTGCTCAGGACTCTCTCAAGTGGATCACTGACTTCCTTATTAACGCTCATACTTCGGAGAATGTCCTCATTGTTCAGGTTTAGTTTTTCTCCATTGCCTTGATACTTTGAGAAAATTTTATAGTAGAATCAAGGGATTCAGCCGAAGTTATAGTTAGGGAAGGTCTTGAAATACGGAAAATGATTTGTTTGTGCGTACTTGGGACATGTAACTGTTTATTTTCATGTTTTGGGATATCTTGTTGTGATACTATAATATGGTTTTTGCTACTAGAAAGAACTATGATAGTTGTTTATAAGATGTTGAACTAAATATAACATAATTGTACGACTAGAATTGGGTTTATTTAGGATTAGAGTACACGATGAAAGATAGGCTTAGTTTGAGATTGCCATGCTTTTTTATGAAAAAGGGGAATTTGAAGTAGAAACCAAGACTTAAAAAATTAGTTTCTTGAAAAAAACTTCGAGAACGCATTGGTGTCTTTGCAAAACACTTATTTACCAAAAAGCTATTTACGTTGGGTTACGTGCAAGGATTTTTGGGGCCTTAAAAAGCAATACCAAATTGGTTCATAGTGGCTAAAGGTTGAATCTTTCATTATTGTGTTTTCTGAATTGGATTTTTGGTGTAGGTGGGTGACCCTAATAAGGACCATAAGTGCTGGGAGAGGCCTGAAGATATGACTCAGAAGAGGCCTCTCACACAGGTCAATACATCCTTTCCAGGATCTGATGTAGCTGCTGAAACAGCCGCAGCTATGGCTTCAGCCTCACTGGTTTTTAGGACAAGCAACCCATCATATTCGAGCACACTTCTTAGGCATGCTAAACAACTGTTTACTTTTGCTGATAACCACAGAGGTTTATATAGTGAGAGCATTCCGGACGTCCAGACCTATTACAATTCGACAGGATATGGGGATGAGCTTTTATGGGCAGCAAGCTGGCTCTTTCATGCAACAGGGGACCATTCGTACTTTGATTATGTGAGAGGAAAAAATGGACAAGAATTTGCTGATTGGGGAAGTCCAACCTGGTTTAGCTGGGATAACAAGCTTGCAGGAACTCAGGTAAGCATGTTTTTCCCCAATTCGTTCGTGTGTGGGACTCTGTGTTTTACGCTACATTTTGCATGCAAATGTTTCGAGTGTCATACATTAGTTTCTTCTAAGTTATATAGCTGAGTGACACGTTGATGAGATTCTCATGCTATTTTTCTAGTTGTAATTTCAAGTAAACTGCAAACTTGACAACGATTCCTGTTCCAATGAAGTTTTGCTTAGTGAACCAATTTCATTTATTAGACTGAGCTCAAGGCAGAATTTTGAAAAATCCATTAAATCGTTTTTCACTTAATCATGGCCTTTCTTCGGATATAATCCTGATTTCTGGCATTATATTTTCTCCAATTGCTTAATAAGCGTTTCTCCTTTGGTGCAGGTTTTGTTATCCAGAATAAGCTTCTTTGGTGCCAAGGGCACATCAAATAGTGCTGGCCTCTTGAAGTACAGAGAGACTGCTGAGGCTGTTATATGCGGCCTCCTACCAGATTCTCCAACTGCAACAGAAAGCAGAACAAAAAGTAATCTTCTTCTGGAATACATTATAAATAAAATTCCATATTTGGCAAGCTAACTGACTTTCAATTATGAAGTTGATGAGGGAAGATAGAGGGGGCTAATTTTCAGACATATAATCACTAAAATTCTGCACTTGTAGGCACTACACCAATCTTATTTCATGAACCCTTTAGTATATAGCCAAGATTTATGGACATTAAGGTGCTAATATTTGTTAAAGATGCCAAACATGTGGCCAATGATGAAATAATTGCATGCCTTCCAGTCCACATTAGCTTAAGGGATCTAACTCAACAACTAGGTAGTCCTGCATATTTTCTTAAGTAGCCTTTCAATATTTCTAGTTGAACCTTTTTGTGTTCCGGATTATCTTCATCCGTCCTTTCACTGTAACTTTTTACAATTCAGGTGGTCTTATATGGGTGAGTGAATGGAACGCTCTACAACATCCTGTTGCTTCTGCATTCTTGGCTGCTCTTTATAGTGATTACATGCTTACATCTAGAACAGCAAAGGTATCCTGCAGCGGGAAATCCTTCACACCAGCCGATATTCGCAAATTTGTTAGATCTCAGGTGTGTTAACTTTTTGTCAAACAACAATAGTGTAGTTCAGAAAATGCCTTCGCGTATTATAACATATTTGTTTCCTTTACTCTTAGGCTGATTATGTACTGGGCGAAAATCCTATGAAAATGAGCTTCCTTGTGGGATATGGGGACAAATATCCGCAATATGTTCACCACAGAGGCGCTTCTATTCCGGTTGATGCGAAGACGGGTTGTACTGATGGTTTCAAATGGCTTGATTCAACCGAGCCCAATCCCAATGTTGCTATTGGAGCACTTGTTGGTGGACCATTTCAAAATGAAACATTTATTGATTCCCGGAACAACTCCATGCAAGTGGAGCCAAGCACATACAACAGTGCCGTGATGGTTGGTCTTCTATCAAGCTTGGTCACCACTTCTTCAGCAGTTCAATCCTTCGCCTAAAAAGTTACTAAAAAGCTGTTACACATGTTTGATTTGTTGTATTATATATATATATATATATATATATATATGCAAGACCAATTCTGTGATCAATTTTAGTACTTTAGTATTTTGTTTTACATGATGAACTCTGAGGTGGCTTCTCGCCTTTGCTGCTCTGAGCTCTTCTAGTTACTTGTTTTGGTAGCAGAATGTTTTTTTTTTTTTTTAAGTAAATAAGGAGATCTCTTTATTATTACTCCACATTCGGCGGCCACCACAGACCCACCCACCCAAAAAAAAAAAAAAATAAAGGAAAAAAGATTAAAAAAAAAAAAAAAAGAGGTTAAAAATATGAAGCTTGCTTCTCTGGGTCATTCTGGAGCTCTACTCGTTTTCTCAGCAAAATATTTTAGTTTTTGGATGGCATAACTAAAAGGGCGAAGCAATATATGTAGATGGGGTAAAAGAGCATAAAATTGCTTTGATGCCTTTCGTTATTAGGTTCTCTGGACTGCAAGTCATTGTCGTTCGCCGAAGCTAGATTAATTTTGAGAAAGAACAAAAAGTATGTCGGACCTTTTCCTCCATTATTGGTGGTAAACTCTCCAAATATATCATTTCCCTTTATTCGATGTAGGACAAAAAACAACAAAAACAAAAAAAATAATAATAATAATCTGAGCACAACGGTGCTATAAAATTCATGGAAGAAAATAAAGAGAAACTGTTATAATTATTATTATTTTTTTCAGCTACAAGATTTCACATCACACGAATCAAATGAAAAAAGAAAAAGGGATGGCAATAATCACATTCCAAAAGGAACTCGTGTGGTTATCTTTAAGCTATGATGAGACACTAGTAACTCGTATCATTTCCCAGATCTGAGGCCTAAAGAAGTGGTGGAGACAGAGACTAGAAACAGAAATTTGAGACTCGCACAGTAGCACACGAAGACACAATTAAGTTCATGCTTAGCCAGATATAGAATAAAACATGGACAAGATAGGTCGACAACTTAGAGCGACAATAACAATTCAGTAAAATAGACAAAGCCATTTCCACGTGAGACACTAGAAGCTATATAACTTTGTACATTGTACCTAGTCCCTTGAATCTTATCTACAACAACTTGGTTTTTTTTTTTTTTTTTTTTCAAAAGAAGAAAAAGAAGAAAGAAAAGACCACTACCACCGATTTCTTCCGCCCTTTTGCATGCTCTGTGTTACTTTTTCAATGGACAAATTGGTACGGTCAAGGACAGGTGAAATTGTACCCTTCAATAACTCACTAGCGTGACACCAAGAATCATAGCTTTCAGTCCCCACTCCAGCCAGCCATCCGCTACGTAGACCACCCAATCTTAGATATGAGTTGACGATAAAATTTATGGCAAAATAGGACAAAATAAAATAATCAACTTTTTTTATGATCACATGAGGTATGGGTCCACATGGACAGTCAATAACCTGTATATTTATTTATTTTGGATTTCTCACAATTATTCTTGTTTGAGTTGGAGCTAAGAATTACTAGAGGAGATAGAAAGAGAAGGTTTTAGTGAAGTAATGGAAATCGAAAGTACTGTAAAAGAAACCATTCCTGCATTTATCAGTGCGGGATTTTATGTTGGCTTTATATATAGATCCCATTCATTTTGCTTTAAAATTTGAGTTTTGTTACAGTAAAAAATTCTCAGAAACAGTTATATCTAATTTTTTTATTATAATAAAAAGTTTTAACATAAAGTCATATCTCAACTCAAATTAATAAACTAAACGGACTCATAATTAAATTGAGGATATATTTCCATTCATAGAATAATCAATGATAATGTCCAACCTATTAAAGAGAAAATGTTTATTGAAAGCACCCTTCTTTTTCGTAGTGGCTCTAATGTCGATCTCATCAATTTCCCTCCTTTAAAAAGAAGAACAAGAAATCTTCTCTCTTTTTCTAGCGAAAGCAACTTGTAACAACCCATCAATTCATAAGAATATGTATTAATAAATAAATAAATAAAATATACATATAATCAGCTATTCACCGACATAGGAAACTAACGTTTAGTTTATATATTCAGAATCATGATTCAGAATTATTCTCGTTTTATGTGTATTTTTTTGTGAAAGAAAACACTGTAAAGAACTATGAATCATGATTCAGAATTAGAGACGAATATAAAAAACAAACGTCTCCAGAGTAATCACAGCACTGCCCTTGTTGATCCAGGTCAGATTCTGACAGGCCAAATTAATTCAAAAATTCAGAAAGAAAGAGATAGGGGGAGAGAGATTGAAAACATGATCCACAGCAAAGTAAAATAAACTGTGGTGACACTGCCTATTCTAGAGGACCTCACATCTACACAAATTTTTTTTCTTTTTTTTTTTTGGCGTATTTTTTTTTAGATGAATAACATGTCATTTATCTACGGTCATTAGTCACTCAATTACTTGATCAGATCAACGAGCAATGTCAGCCTTCACAGTGTATCCCAGTTGTTGCTCCATCTCCCAACTTAGTTTAGGGGCCACCCCAGAATGCTTAGGAACATACTCCTGCTTAAAATCAATCAGAAAAATATATTAATTAGGATCAACGGCTCGGATCATGAATTAACAGCAGGCCCCACAATCAGCATTGCACGTGAGCAACATGCACGAACAAAACAAGCTGAATCTAAGAGGATCGAAAATTACGAAAGAAAAAAAAAATCAGGAATGATTCAGTCGGCCGTGGTTAGGCAAGCCCACAAACTGCATGGGTGGCCCCACAACGCTATGAGGCAACATACGATTGGCAGGACAAGGACGATACTGAAAGCTCCATTACACTTGAATTTATAAAATTAAAAAATCACTATTAATGATACAATTAATATAGAATGTCAATATACGACTCAAATCACATATTCTATATAGCACTTAAATCACATATTTAATTTTAGTGTCTTAATTAGTGTTTAGCTAATTAAATTGTGTCACGTTATTTAAAAAATTTTAAAATACATTTTCACTAACTTTTTCATGCTTTGACGTTGAGATCTATGAAATTTCATAATATAATTAGTTAGATATTAATTAAGATATTAAAAATTAAATAAATTATTTGAATTCGGACGCATCATAACTCCAACATATCAGTGTCCTGTCTTTTTTTTTTCCCCTTTTTTGGTACTACTATGAATTTATGTCCTAGAAAATGAGAGTGTACCTAAATTCTCAGCACATAAAACAACAGGGAAAAAAAAAAGTACCTCAAGTTTGCACATGAGTTCTTGGGCAGTTTGGGCAGACACAATAATGTGACGGGCAGCTGGCGTTATGAAACCTTCATCTACTGCTTTGTCTATGAAAGACAGGAGTGAATTGTAGTATCCATCTACGTTTAACAATCCCACCTGCATCCAAACACACATTATTCTTAATTTTGCTTCTAGAGTACTTTTCCATTAAATTTCTTTCTTTCTTTGTAGTTTTTTGGTGTAAAGTTGATTTGGGTTTGGCCCAAAACTGCAAAAATTTTACTCCCCAAGGATTGGATTTGTGACTTCTTACCGGTTTTTCATGAATTCCTAATTGAGCCCAAGTTATCACTTCCAACAATTCTTCCAAAGTACCGTATCCACCTGAAAGCAAGATTAACAAAAATCATTACGCCAAAAATTTAAAAAAAAAAAAAAAGAAAGAAAGAAAGAAGATAGATTTGTGCATTATTTTCTATTAAAGTACGATGGTCAATAAATAGTTAACTTTTCATTCAGACTTTTTTTGGCTTTATTGGGGGATTATATCATCTTGGTGCAAATTGTTCCATTAAAAAAAGAAAATCACGGTTCACATTTAACAACATATGTCATATGTCTAAGATATTGAAAAATGTATTTTCAAAAAAAAAATAAAAATAACAACAAAAAATTAAGGTACAGACTACACATATTATATATTAAAATTTATAGTAGAAATTAAATATACCTGGCAGGGCAATAAACGCGTCGGCTTGTCGAGCCATTTCAGCTTTGCGTTGATGCATGCCTGATACAGCTCTTACTTCTCCCACAGTTTCTCCTGTGATCTGAAAATCATACATATTTTTCACTTCATACAGTTAGCACTTTGTTTTCTCCTCCAAGATAAACGAAACAATAATTTGTTGTAAAAAAAAAGAGAAAAAAAATTACCTCTCTTGGCATGAGAGTCTTGGGAATTACTCTGCAGAAGATAAAAGACAAACAAAAAAAAAAAAAAATTCAAAATCCAAAACAAAAACCAATGATATGAATGATAACAAAAGTTTCTTTTAATTCAGCCAAAAAACAAAACAAAAGTTTTTTTTTCTTTTTTGTTTGTTTGTTTGTTATGAAATGAGGAAAATAGAAGGGTAAGTAGTGGTACCCCAACACATGGCGACCACCTTCATAGACAGCTTGAGAGACCAGACCCATCAATCCAATACTTCCACCTCCATAAACCAAGTCAATGTTTCTTTCGACCTGCAAAACATTTTTTTTATATATATATAAATAGACAAACTTAACAACACCATTACGTGCTTAACTTAAACTGAATAATTAAAAACCATTTCATTTAGGCCCTCACAAAACAACAATTCATGAATATTCCTCTGTTATACCAATATTCATCACCAATTGATCTAAAAAAAAACAAGCGCAGAGGGAAGATAAGATCACACTTTTAGTGAAACTTCTTCTGGGTGTTGATGAAAATTTTGGAAACTTCAAGGAAAAAGTAATATTAATAACAGAACAGAGACACTTTTTAAAAAGAAAAAAAAAAAAAAGATAACAAGCTCATTGAGAAGTTATACAACAACATAAAAATAAAATAAAAAATAAAAAGAAAACTTAATTACCAGTTCTTTGCCAAGCTGAATAGCAGCAAGCTGATAACTTGGGCTCTTGCCAGGGCTGCTTCCGCAGAAAACACAGACTCGTCTGAATCTTGATTTGATGGGAAGCTGGCATTGTTGAAAGAGTGCTTGTTGATTTTCCATATAAAGATCAGGAAACTAAGGCGTAATTTGGAAATGAAATATATATATTGATCAGAGTTTGATAGAAAAGAAAATTTTCTTTGTTGTTTGTGTTGGTAATTAATTTGGTTGGCTAAAGAAGAAAGTTGAAGAGGAAGAGGTTTCTTATTGTGTTAACGTGGAATTGTGTTTGTTGTGTTTTTCAAAGCCAATGCCAATGCCTATGCGAAAAGATGTACGGAGGAATGAGAATGAGACTTGGGTGTTATTGGGGGTCCTTTTTTTTTTTTTTTATAACAACTTCTCCTTCCGACATGTGCCATCTCTCAATTTCTCGTCTCGTGAGATTTTTGCGAAATGAAATTCACGTTGATAGAGACATTATTTATTATATTATTTTTTTTTTTTTTTGTTTTTTTTTTTTTTTTTTTTTTTTTTTTTTCCTTTTCGTTTTTCCTTTGCTATTTGATTTTTGGAACCAAATTGGTGGTGGTATGAATTAAATTTAACCTACCAAAAAAAAAAAAAAAAAAATGAAAAGAGAGAAAAGGAAACTAACTCCTTACTGCTATTTGGTCCTTATCCATGGATCATAACCCATCTTTCTTTCTAGTCAATCAATTTCCTTCAATCTTTATCTTTATCCATTTTAATGCCAAGTTAAAGCATTCCCTTTTTGGCTAAAATAATAATTTTGGTGCGTAAATGGAAACTTTATCACTTTACTTTATTATAAAGCAGAATAAATTCTAAATATTTTTTTATCTCAGAAAAATTCTAACTCTTTTGATATGAGATTTTACGTTAGGATATAAAAAAAATACCCTAAAGATAGGTATCTGTTTTGAATAATCATATTTGTATCAAATTCTATCAAATTTTACATTCTTTTTTTTTATTATTATAATGTGATATACCCAACCATAATAGGCTCAATATCTGTAATTCTTTTTTTAGTCGAATTTTCATATCATTCTTATACTAATTGATATAGAAAAGGATAGTTAGGGTCAATTGAATTGATATATACTAGGGCGATGCATGATTTCAATATTTTGAATTTTTGAGACGTACATGCTTTCATCTTTTTTCAGTAATAAAAAAAATAAAAATAAAAAGCTGTTGAAAGAAATATTAACTTATTCTTGAGAGTTAAAAAAATAGCAACGGCCATCTCAAAGCTATGAGCAACAGATAGGAATTGTTTATAAGCCTCAATCAAGTGTTAAAAATTGAAAAGTGTAAACATCCTAAAAATTGAGATGTATTGTAATCTTACTCATAAATATATACGACATATCCATTGGCATCTTTCATTAGAAAGTCTAATTTATGAAAACATAGATGACCTTTTGACGGATATGTATAAGTGATGTATGCACGTAAATTTTGTTTCTCTTGCTCTAAAAACATCATCACACATCCTTTGGACAAGAGCCTAAATTTCGGACATTACATTTACGGTTGACAAATGGGTAAAATTTGATTCAGAATTTATCCAAAAATGAAAAAATAAAATAAAAATGATTCATAAGGTTGAGAATACAAAAAAAAAAAAAAAAAAAAAAAAAAAAAGAAAAAAAAAAAAAAAAAAAAAAAAAAAAAAAAAAAAGGTCAAGAAATTGGACAATTCCGAAGGCCATTTGGACAGTTCCCAAGTGACTACCCCACGAAGTCGAATTCTACACGGCTTCATATGGCACTCACATGCATGGTTAGTAATGCCCACAACATCAATTCTATTAAAGCCAAAAAACCAACGGAAAATGCATACATGATATTTCCCTCTTATATGCAAATATGAACAATTTTGTTACAGCAGTTTTTCCTATTTTCAAGTAAATGTTTTATAGAACAAATTGCATCCCTATTCGAACCAAGATAGATCACGTACTCCAAAATATAGTTAGTAAGCTTATTCTCATTGGAAGTCTTTAATTTATTTATCTGCTAGCTTAAACTGGTTAAACCTTAATTGAAATAATCTATTTGTTATTTATATCCAAGGAGGCATAGGAAATTTCAACGTCCGATCATATAAAAGCCAATTGCCATGGGTCCACTGTATAGGTACGTGTAATAGTCTCGGGACACCCAACTCTCATTCGAACAATGCTATAAGATACCGGTAGTAATAGAAAATAGATCTCGTAGCATGAGGTCATAATAAATGGGCTCTATTTTGTGCTAATTTGTGGTGTCTTCAAGCATTTTTCACTCTAATTCTATTTTTTTTTTTTATCAACTTTGAATTGTTATTTATTTATTAATAAATACAATTTTTTAATGTGATGGATTTTTTTTTTTAACAATTATTAATAATAGAATGACAAATGATAGTTGGTATTAAAAAATAGGATTAGAGTTGGTATTCTATCATCGGTATAAATATGCGTTTATATATTTATGTATAATATTTATATGTACAGGCTATAGCAGGCTCTCATTTTCCACATAAGGAGCTCTTGAAGCTATGCATATTTTTCATACAACTAGTGGCTTGCATGTGAAATTATGAAATATTGGCTGTCCCACACTCCCACTTGCACATTATGATCCGCCAATGAGAAACGAATAAATAAAATCAAAAAACAATTAGTGTAGTTCATAGCATTTAATATAATACTAATTATCAACTAATTACTACTAATAATGATGATGATGAGTATAATAGCAATATCAATATTGGTAATAATTATCATAATATATGTTAATAATATAACATTGTAGTCCCCTATGAATAGTTAAAGCATGCAGAACTAGATGGCAATGTTGTGGACACATCATCGGCCATCCAAGTCCAACAAAACTAGGTAGTAATTACATATAATACTAGTCACGAGGACAATGCCTCGAAGGTTCTCTCTGTGAGAATAATAGAAGTGTCTTACTCTTGAATATTATTATAATATGACAAATTGCTAATGCTAGTAAGTATAATTATAATATATTTTACGTACGTGAATAATATCGTAATCAAGGTTAGAAGGTTTACTGTGAAATAATATTAATCTACCAACTTCTTGTACTTGCTGAAATACCATGATCTAAGTAGCCAGATTGAATCTTAAGTTCAATGCCCAATTTTAAGGTACATATATATGGGTCCATGTGAAAGCCCTAAGATGACAACCTGAAAGCTATATTATTATCATCATCATCTGATCATCACTAATATACTAAAAAAATAAGATAATAACAAAAAATTAAGATCTTCCATATAACATAAGTACTGATCATTCAATTAGAATACGCTTTATTCTAGACTAAAAATGGGCAAATTAATCTTGAAACATTTTCTTTTCTAATTTCCATAGAAATCTTATCAGCTCTGCATGATTAATTTTCACTTTTTTTCATCACTTAAAGTTAGCTTTCAAGGTTTCTTTGTCCAACCTCTATGGTCCAAAACGAAAGCCGCTGCCGGTGAGGCCATATTTTTCTCCGATAAGGCCGCATTGTCTTGGACATAGTTCTCTACTTTTCTTAAAATTATCATGTAAAATTATTTCTTCTTCTTTTGAGGTTTAGATTTTGGTTTTTGGAGTGCCGGTACAAATTGTTTGATTCACGTTTGGGTTGACTCATGTCTTGCTATTGGTCATGTTACAAACCTAAGATGGCGGATTGATTTTGAATCCTGTACTGGACTAGCTAGTTGGAATAATCGATGTTATTTTTCTTTACTATTCTTTCTTCTTTTCGTAGAAACCTCATTCTTGCTTCTTGATTCGTAGGTTTTTTGTTCCAATCTCCGCTCTCTTTGATAACAAAACGTGATCGAAGAGGGACCAACAACACTTGATGGAAAAATGTCTGTCAAAACAAATATAGTTGACAATATTGCTTTTATAATAAAAGAAACTTCAATTTTTTCTAATTATTTAATGAGAATTTTACAACCGTTATGGCGAAATATATATATATATATTTATATATAAACCATTATGGCCAAATATGATCCACTGATAATGCTCAATTGTAAACCGTTACTTTGTACCAAATTCCATCAATTTTACACTTTTTTCAGTTTGATATGTAATTTTCACCAAATCTAATGTTCAAAAACCTTGTACTTATCGATAGTATCCCATAACACAGATCTCCTTACAAACAATATCCTAATCTAACTTTAAAAAATATATTCTTATAGATAGCATTCTATCACACAAACCCCCTGATTACAAGCAATATGGTAAACCATGGAATATTCTGGAAAAGTAAATTATATTGTCGAAGAAAGGAATTCTATGATATACTTCAATCAAATTCAACCTCAAGGAACATTAATTGTGGCAGGTGAGGAGCCTTTGTAATTTTTCTTATTATTATTATTATTATTATTATTATTTCAATGTATGCCATTATAAGAAAGTAGTAATATTGTTAGGAGGAAAAGTGGGGAAAAAAAGAGAGGTAAGGAGATTATATTGGAATATTCATTTGGAAGCATGGTTGTTTGCTAAGAAATAAAGATTATTTCAAATAAAAAAATAAAATAAAATAAAAGATGAAGGAATTCGAATGGATTGGTAGATATACTTCAAATTCTTCAAACAATCTTAATTTTATTTTCTTTCAATATAACAAAATACAACAAGAGAAAATTCTTCTCTTTCCTCTCTATTTTCCCCACCAAAGATATATATATTATTTCCCACTTAAATTTATAGATCTTTTTCTCCTTTCTATTTTCCCTTCTTCTTTTTAAACACAGTTTAAACCTAAAAATATATCGCCAAATACATACAGCTCCCAAAATTTTGAGCTGTTGATCAATGAGACTGGGGTTTTTTTAATGCATATTTTATTACTTCATTAAGAAAGCCGCAATAACAACAGTGGCTTGTTTTGATTTTAGCATTTATATATGAAATGCTTATTAAAATAAATACGAAAATATCTTGAGATAGTATGAGATATATATACGCTACTCAAAATATAATAAGAATGCATAATTGAACTAAAAGTCTCTGATCATTATGGTCACTGTTTTTTCTTTTCATTATTATTCTTTTCCGAAAGATAGCATTTTTTTTTGTCTGATAATTAATACAGAATAGTCGTGCACCAAACGCATACTAAGGCATGCGATGACACTATGACTACTATAAATTAAACACTTAATATATTTATATATTTGTGACGTAAATGCTTATATGAAATATGCTAAGATTCAGAGAACATAGATATATAACTTGTACTTTTGTTCCTTTCTTAAAAAAATAAAAAACGAGAGAGTGAGAGG